CTTGCCTCTCTCTCCGGCCAGGACGTTGAGTACCCCGGAGAGGCCTGCTGTTGGGTGCACAGTGGTCCTGCCTTACGTAGGACCTGGGCCCCGCTTTGCTGCCTCTTTGCAGAAACAGCACACACACACAATTGCCTGTTGTTCGTGTAAGGCACAAAGCAAGAGGATAGAGCACAGAGCGCATCAGCTGTCTGACCATCGCTGAACCGTTGTAAGAGGCCTGACATCTGGAATGCAATGAGACTGGCGTCGTTTCGCAGTCCCTTCTAGCGAGTCCTGCTATAAACAGTTCAAATGAAAAACACTGTGCAAACAGCCGGTGTACTTGAGATTGTGATGCTGCTCCTGATGCTTCATTTCTCTCTCTGCTGACATAATTTTGACTTTAAAACCAATCTGAACAAGATTCAGATTCTGCCAGGCTGCTAAGGATGATATAATTAGCTGCCTTCCTATCTTCTTATCCCCTTTTCTATTATGAAGCATTTATACAACAGACTCCTTAAATTCAGAACACCTCTCTTGTAGCAAACATTTGCTGTTAAGTGCCCTGAGCTTGGCAGAATAAGATTAAGCATATTACTTTGCCTTCAACTTACTTCTATCTTGATTTGCAGTAGGGTGCTAATATCGAGCAAATACCCATCATTCCAGACTGCCATGCATTCTATGCTCTGGTTCACGTCATAATCAATAATTCCTGTGTCGATAACAGTCCCAGTAGCTGAAATGAAGTCAATGTCTTTATTTGTAGTAGGAATATTCCACTTTCCTAATGGTTTTTCTTTTTTCCAGAGAGTTGTGGTTGTGGAAGACATAAAACGATGGAAATGTATGCTTGAGCTTCCAGGGCAACCGAAAGAGAATCTGATTGAAGCTTTGGAGGAGCTGAAAAAGAAAATACCTTCCAAGGAAGTGTTACTTTCAACAAAAATAGGTATGTCCTGTTGCTTGATCTAGAGTGTGACTATTAGACTGTCTTGCATCCTTTGCTGCTCAGATTGCCAGGGACTAGCTCACAGGCCTTTTTTAAGAAAAGAGTGTCACAGTCGTCTCAAAAGGTTTACCTGGTCTCTGTACAAAAAATTCTTGGTACGCAGCCTGCAGTTTTCATAACTCATACTGAAAAAAGTCAGCACTCCTTTAATTCTTCCCTGTACATGAAGGTTGCCTGCTTACTACTAAATATTGCATCACTCCTCCCGTGGCAGCATTTTGGAAGAGATTTTCACAGGCACGTCTGTGTGTTGTTCCTTCTGCTGCCATCTGCTGGGGGCATGGCAGAGTGCTCCCTTGCGGTCTGAGACAGGGCCTATGCATCAGACCTGGCTGAGTCCTCCAAACGTGCAAGAATTCTCCTCGTAACGCCCCGGAAGTGCTTAGTGCATTCTCACAAGGAGAAATCCTCAACTGATAGGCAGCTCCATGCAACTAACACAGCCCTATGCTTGACCGTGTGGGGACTTGGGGGGAGGAATAATGTGAGACCGCATGGACCCTGCCTTTCCTGTCTGTGAAGATCATATATGACACAGAGTATCTGAAGTACCCCAAAGCGAGAGAAAGTCATTTTGACCTTTGTTTGCCATTAGAGCAGCTGGATCTCTATTCAAAGAGCCCTCCTTGCCTTGGAAAAGGAGACAGGATCTGCCTCTTTCTTCTTCCTTCTGGATTGTCATTTAGTTTGCCATTTTTAGCTCGTTCAGCCTTTTCCTGAGATTTTTCCCAGTGCTTCCCTGAGCACTGCTGGGCTGTAAGAAAGCCACAGAAGACCAACAGTGACATCTTCTGGCCAGTAGTGTTAACACCAGTCAGACACTACTGCTAGCGTGACAGGTAGGTCAGAAAAATGCCCAGTTGGAAAAGGATCTCTTCTTTCTCCTCTCAAAGGAAAGTCTCTTTGCACTGGCAGGCCCCGGTGTAGTACCTGGGGTGTCGGCATGCTGAACGAATTACTCATGTCAACTGGAAAGATTCTGCTTGGAGGCACCATGATGTTCTCATGTTAAAACATTATAAACATCACAGTGATAAACCTCACTGCCACATCTGCTTCTTTAAGGGGTTTTTTAGTTAATAAAAAAAAAAAAAAAGTGTTTCTTGTAGACCAGTCTTACAAGATTACTCAATTACCAAGCAATTACTTGGTAATTGCTCAGGCAAAAGTCACAGAATGGTGGAGGTCGGAAGACACCTCTGGAGATCATCTAGTCCAACCTGCCTGCTCAAGCAGGGTCAGCTAGAGCAGGTTACCCGGGACCGTGTTCCACTGGGGTTTGAATATTTCAAGGATGGAGGCTCCATAACCTCTCTGGACAACCTGCTCTGGTGCTCAGTCACCCCCAAAGTTATTCAGAGGGAACTTCCTGTGTTTGTGCCTGCTGCCTCTTGTCCTGTCACTGGGCACCACTGGAAAGAGTCTGGCTCAGTCTTCTTTATGCCCTCCCTTCGGATATTTATACACATTGATAAGATCCCCCCTCAGTCTTCTCTTCTTCAGGCTAAACAGTTCCAACTCTCTCAGTCTCTCCTCATGACAGATGCTCCAGCCCCATAATCATCTTTGTGGCCTTTTGCTGCACTCCCTCTAATAGCTCCATATTTCTCCTGTACTGTGGAGCCCAGAACTGGACACAGTGCTCCAGACATGGCCTCACCAGTGCCCTGCAGGAATCACTGCAGAGGTCAATGAATAAAAACTTCAGGGTCTGCTCCTAGTGATTTCATGTTTATGTTTATGCCTGTGCGTTGGTTATTGTGCTGTCACTGTCTGAATTACAAACTTGTGTGACTGCTTTAGCTCCACTGTAACATCACTCTTGTCCATTATATTTTGCCCACCTACCAAAGCTGAATGAGCTGTTGCTGTTTTCCAGGTCACACAGTGAATAAGATGCGCAAACATTCAGATCACGATGTGGCCAGCCTTGCAAAGGATGTTTACACAGAGTGGCGAACTTTCATCAAAGACCATTCAAACAAACCCTCAATAGAAGTCAGGAGTGATCCCAAGACTGAGGTTTTCAGAAAGAACGCGCGGAAGATGCTTTGCAAAGCCTTGGATCTAGAGGTAGTGTTCAGGTCCATTCATCTTCGTCTCAAAGAGTAACTTCCTGTAAGAACAAGTTAGACAAACCCTTTCCAGACATAGTTACTAAAAAGCTGATCCTGCCTGCAGGGTGAGGACAAGGCTAATGACCTGTTCCTGTTTGCTTTGATTCTCAGCATGTCTGTATTTATAAGGAGCTTTGTTTTCAAGGGAGATTTTTTTGTTCTTGACCAAGTGAACGTGTTTGTTTTAAGTGAGGTGTGTATTGCTCTCATTTACATAACTAGCAAATGGGACAGTTGCGTATCTACTGCAGCTAGGCTGCATAGGAGAAGAAGGAAGTTAGAACGCACAGTTTTCCCTGCTACTTATTAGCTGCAAAAGCAACACTGGGACCTTTTGGATGTTTTGTATTTAAGTAATTAAGCATGAGCAAATTGAAATCTATTGCAAAAACATAGAGTTGACATAGGCTGACAGTATATAAAGTGGTGCTAAATACCAGATCCCTCTGGTATCTCTACATAAGCAAACAGGATTTACTGAAAGGCTTAATGATCAGTTTGCTTGCTCTATGAAACTCTGTAATAATTATCATTTAGTTTATTCGTTAATTATCCTCTGAATGGCAAGTCAAGAGGTAGGCGCTCAAGAGTTTCAGAGCAAAGTTAAAAAGCTATGTGTTGTCAGCCATGAAAACAGCCTCTCCAACTTGTAGTTCATCTGGACCGAGGCAGAGCAAAAGGATGGGTTGCTGCGGGAAGGTCTCAGAATGGAGATTTTATGGAGAGCTTACCTTTCCCAGGCTGCTAGTCAAATCAGGTTTCTGGGAAACGTGTCTATGCATAGTGATAATGCTGGTGGTAAAGTGTAAACCTATGGGAGACGAGGGATATGGTACTATCCTAAAACAAGTGGTATTAGGGAGGGCGGGACCAGGCAGAATCACTTCTGAACAGAACTCACCTGAAAGTGTGGTAAAGAATACTCCTCTGGCTTGCAGCTACCATCATATGTGCAAATAGAGTTTACATCAGCAGGATGAATAGCATATATAAGCAGGGGAGCCACAGAGGCCCAGCAAATGCAAAGCAGGGATACCTGAGAAAGGGCTGATAGAAGGAGGAAGGGAGAATGGGGCTGAATGGACACAAAGGGGCTTCTAGCGCAGCCCAACAGAGGGGCAAATTAAGCGAGGGGTAGCAAAAAGAGAATAAAAGAGGGCAAAGGACTTGTAAGAATACTACATGGCATGCTGGAATCACCTGTATGCAAAAGTAGGGGAGATTTCCAATCACAAAAGGCAGAAGTGAAATTCAAACCCTTTCTGGATGGGCAGGAGAATTTTTTCTAAGCTGTGCTAAATTACAGGTTTTGGCGCACGTCGAAGCAATAACTACATAATTAACATTTAGCAAATCCCTTTCTGCATTCTTAATTACACCTCATTCAACACACACAGAGCCTACATTTCCCTTTATAGCACCAGGCAGGGTTGCCAAGTATTTGGCATGTCTTAGGGTTGCTGTTAGAATTGAGTTTCAAATAGTATCCAAGGTGCCTTATATCAGCAAGATCAAAAGTAAGCTTTATGGAGACAGTGGAGTGTAGCTTATAATTGCAGTCGAACTTGATCCCCAAAGCTAGTTGCAGATTAGTTTCCTGTTGTGATGGCAAAGTACTGCCACCCAGCTGGAGACGTGAACGTGTTCCCTGCTACTGACCACATTGCCTTGTTCCTTAATTGCTAGGGTGGAATTAAATTGCTCTGCCTGTTTCACTTGTGATGGGAAGTAGATTTCCTTGAATCTAAGCTGATTAATGAAGAAACTCTGAAAAAGCACCAAACTCCGATTTCAATCAGTTGGCCTCCTTATTAAATGCAAAGATCTAATTTTATACTTTGCTGTTTTCAGATTGATCACCCACTGGCTGAAAATATTGAGCGGGAAGCTTTTCATCTCTCTTCCCGTCTCATTAGTGCACCGTATCGCAGAACGGTGCGAGCTCTTGTCTTCTCATTAAAGCACAAACCCGAAATCCGAGCAGAAGTCAAGACTGGCACACTCACTGTCCCTGCTTTTGTACAGAGACATAAGAAGTGAGGTGGGGTGTGCTTGATGCCGAGTGAGAACTTTATGTGCCCACATCTCTGCAGAACTGGGAACCCTTTCTGTCTTAAGAGGAGCACAGAAGTGCAGACAGTGCAGCTCACTTGGCACCACCATATGAACAGGACCACTGAAGACAGGAACCAGTGATGATGCAAGTGGTGCTATAAATCTGACCTGGTAGAAATCTATGTGGACTTCTTGCAAGACAAGTTTCTTCTACTATGCCATATATTTTCCTGCTACAGAGCCACCTTTGCTACTCACATGTCTCTCACTTTTACCACAGTTTGTCATACCTCAGTCTGGCTCCATCCCTGATGTGGATCTTCAAGTGTAAACAGAAAGCAGCAGCTCTGTGCTGTGGTGGCAGAAATACTGGGAATTCAAAGTGATTAGTCCAAATGAGGCGATCACCAGTGGATAACTGCATACTCTTAATTAGCGCTAAATCAGCCATGTCTGCTGCAGCTGGGTTCTGAATGTGGCAAGAGGTGGCTGTTTAGCCAAGCCAGCTGATTTCCCTTTGCTGCATCCTTCCCTTTGCTCCGCTTTCCAAAGTTGGACAGCAACTGGGTTTCAGTAACTTGCTATCTATCATTTCATAGCCTCAGTGACCTAACAATTGTGGGCATTTTTTGAAGCTCTGGGGTGAAAATCAAAATGCCCTGGGACATAGGTGCTATCTAATACTTCTTTGCTGTTTAACGAATGGCTCGCTCAAACTTCTATACCTCATTCATGATTTAATTGTGGTGCTTGTTTGTACTGCAACATGAAAAAAAACTTGAAATGAAATTTCTAAATACAATGAACTGGTAAGGAAAATGCTCCTTGTAATAGCTTTTTTCCTCCAAAAGGAACAAATGCTTCAGAATGATTGTGTCCATACAAATTTAAGCAACAGAAAAACAGAACCAGAAACAAACTAGTTATTAAACACTGGAAATCTGGCCTTTCATTTTTACTCTGATAAGTAGAGTGCCGCAAGTCATCTTGTTCTCCCTATACTCCCCATTATTAAGGCTCTGACAGGCACAGTCTTTCTCTACTGGCAGTCAATAACGGTACTATCTGTTTGCAGATCATTGTCTGAGATCAACCTATCAGGGTAGAGAGAGCCAGATACTGGGATGCGTGAAACTTGCCTATTAGCAGTTGTGGGAATCAAAGTCTAGTATACCACCAAGAAGAGCCTTTTGATAAGTTGTGGACAGCACTTTTACCTCAAAAGAATCACTTGAGGACAAATAATGCAGTGGGACACCTATGAATTAGTCTTTATTCAGATCTTCATCCTAAAACAGTGGCGGCATGTGGTTATGTGGATCTGCTAAATACCTTTTGTCAGTACACTAAAAGCTAAAGAAACACCCTAAATTTGTCTGAGGTATTGAACTCTTAACTGTCATTAGATATTTGCAGGTTCTCTTAAGAACATGCAAACGTGGTGTGTTTGCAGTTAATTCCAGACTGCTTGGGCCGCTGCAAGACCGTTGTTACTGTACACGCAGTGAGGGTATCTTCAGACAGCTGACTTCTCTGAAAACAATGACATGCTGGCTGAGCCTGGACATACAGACGTTTCACTTGTAGACAGTTAAAGATAGCTGTGCTGGAAGCAGTGTGGGATTGAGGCAGACACTGACAGATCCGTGAGTGATGACTGTACAGATAATACGTCAATGAGGACTTTATAACTGGGCTTTAGCAAAGTTTGTGAAAACTCACAATTTATTTCTTACTAATAATCAGATCCATTTCCCACTTAAATAGCATCTAACTGCACAGCCATGACTTAATTCATGTGTCCTTGGACTGTCATGAAAGGGGTTCAAGATCAATGAGCATTTTAGGCTTTGCCTCCAGAACTGTGATGCCAAGACCTGCGGTATTTATTTTCAGCTTTCTGTTCCTGGTGCTAGGCTGAGTTTTCTGTTCTGGGGTAACATATGCGAAAAGCAACAATCCTGAAAATAAGGAACTTCTGGTCCTGGTGAAAGCCAAGCCAGAGAAACTTCCCACACGGATCAGACACGTTAGGAGAACTTTGCCCTGCCTGAACACATGCTAGCATGGCTGATTTATGCTGTGCTGCGCATTGGTTTGCAAGACTGAGCGAGACCACGATCTAGCGGAGGGACTAACGACTCCCCAAAATTGCTTGAGATGCACAGTGCAGGTAACAACACTTGAGACAGCACGATTGCTGTCTAAAAGTGAACTGCTCTGGAGAAATGGCAGTTCTCCCCTGAGAACAGCTACTCGGTGAGATCCACTTTTGTTTGTTACAGTTTAGCTCTGGGAACCCAGATAGGGAAGGTGGTGTGGATTCTTTTTTTTTTTTTCCTGATCTTTTATTAGTAAACAATCTGGTGGAAGTGATGCCATTCATGACACAGCACTGTACAATTTAAAAGCAAGAGCTACGTAGCTACAAACAAGGCCCTAATAAGGCCCAGAGTCCCGCTGTGGTGTTTGTGATATGTGGAGGAATGGGACGAGCGTGGGGAATTCCAGCCTCGTGCTCAGGGTGTATTTTAAAAAAACAAAAAATGACCACATCTCAGCATTTGCCCGTTACTTTTCTAAGTGGCGCAAGCCAAAAGAGATAGCAGACGTTATCAGCAGGCATGTCTGAGAACCATTTGCTGTAACTGTCCAACCTGCCCAAACGTTACCTGGGATTAGTGTGAGCCAGGTATTGCTTTCCTGGACCTGCAGTCAGTGCGGAACAACATCTTGGAGCTACTTGTGAGCTCTTCTGCTCCACACAAGCTGCAATCTCAGTCTTTCCCATGCCGTCAGACTTTGTTCTGGGTTATAAGCAAAGCTCTACCATGCCCATCTTTTTTAGGTGACTTTTTCCATGTCCTGTCCTGGACTCCGACACCGTTCTTTGAGCAAACTTCAGGGAAGAGATTGTTTTTGTTTATTTGATCTATTTTGCATGCCTTCAGCTCTCTAAGGCACACATTGCAGAGCAGGTGTTTTGGCTTCCTTCTCAATGTGTGCTAAATATTTTTCTTTTGGGAATTAACTTCAGGGAAGCAGGGTTACTGCACATCTGGAGAAAACTCTAACTTTTATAACTTCCCTCTTTTTAATCCCTAATATTTTTTGCACAACTTGTTTTCAAAGGGACTTTAAGTGTATAGTTCTGGGTCCAGCTCTTGCAACTTGATGATAAAGCTGGCGGTAACATTTGGGATGAAGATTCGCAGACTGAGCTTTGCATAAAACTGACTGTCGGGGGAAAATGGAAAAGATCCCTGAGGCTTGGACTTGAGAACGGAAGCACAGGGGGAAATGCAGAGAAAAGAGCAGAGCTGGGAACACAAGGGAGTGGTATAAGGAGAAAAACAGAAAGGAAGGTGGGAAAGGAAGACAAAAGCAAAGAGAAGAAATAGCAATAGGACAAAATAGTGCTTAGTTTTCCCATAGAGTGATGCTAAACGTGACACTGGAATACTCCAGTGTTTGATTACTCAATGAAGACCAGAGTTCCCCTCTTCACCAAGCCTCCCTGTTGATAACATGTTCAAGGGTGGCCAGGGGACCTGCACAACTGCATTTATTTGAGCCTCAGGTTATCGTCCGAATGAGTTTGTTACACCTCAATGAAAAGCCAAGCGTGGCTAAGTATTCTTCGTTGCCTCTCTTGCCAAATGCAACCAGGTAGGGGAGATAGGAGCCTTGCGGCTTGTGGTTAAACCAATGGCCAACGCATAGTTTTGAAATTCTGCTTGGTGCTAGCTGGCCCGCGCAGCAGGCTAGCTGGCCTTGAAACCCCTTCAAATACAGTCTGCATTCAGGTTTCTCTGGGGGCTTAGGTCAGTTATGGCTCAACCATTCACAAATGCAGCCTCTCTGGAGAGGGCTTTGTGCTGGGCCAGGATGGGCTCGGAAGCACAGGTACCTGAGCTCTTGTCTTCACACTGGGGAAACCATTATACATTAAAAAGAAGGGTGAAAATCTGGGCAGTGGCCCCCTTGGTGCTACATTTCTCCAGCCTGGTGCCTTTGAAATAGCTGGTTCCTTTTTTACAGAGGAGACGTTCAATCAAGGAGGCACGCAATCTGGAGGAAAGGTTCTTCTTTTTTCCTTTTCTTTTCATATAAGCCCAGCCCAGGCAAAAGAGTTCATAAAGCATATAAAGTCTCACTGCACCAAGCAAAAAAGGATAGGAAGCAACTTCTGGGGGTAAGTGAGAGTCTTCTGTTTGCTGCTGCCTGTACTGGGAACCCTGCTGGAAAGTGGGGGATAAAAGGGGGGGATCTGAGGAGCGCTTGGAGAGAGAGAGAGAGAGAGAGGAGAAGTCACTCCTGCAAATTCATCCCTGCCAAAGCCGGCTTTTGACCCTAGCTTCTGAAAGGCAAATCTGCTGGTTTTGGAAGGCATCATTTTTTTCCTTTCCCCATCAGCAAGCACAGCTAAGAGGAGCTTTATCTTGCTGCAAATTACGTGGGTGAGAGAGTAAGGGAGTAGACAAGACCCTTTCCCCATCCTTCGTAAAGGAGAGCGCACAGCATCTCAACATGTTTCATTTTTTAAGAGGCTCTTCAAAGCTTTCTCCACAAAGAACCCAAACTTTTAGATCTCATTTGCTTTCCTGGCAGCCCTGTAATATGAAAGGTTTGCTGGATCGGCCCTGGACCGAGAGGAGTTAAAACAAGGAGCCATCGCAGACATCTTGTACGTTCCCCTGGAGCCCTGATCATTCGAATGAGGTTTCTGGACATGCCCAGGACACAACCATCCTGGCTCCTGGCGGGAGGGCACCTTTCCTCCCAAGGTATATTCACACATGACAGCTCAGAAGAGCGCCGGAGCATAGGATGCAGCAGGAACTGGAGGTTGGAGCAGAGGAGGAACTGAGGAAGGAAGAAAAGAAGGGATAAAGGGAGGGAAAGATGTTAGGGAGTTCCCCAACCCGGCTGACCACAGCCACACAAATGCTTGCTCCTCCATGCAGCACAGAGTAAGTATTGAATTTGGCTTGCTAGTATTACCTGAGTGTGAATGAACCCTCTCTCATGGGAGCAACTGTGCTGCAGAGGGTAAAGCAATGGCTGGAGGGCTTTCGTTTTGGCCATGCCTGTTTAAATACCTAACTTTTGCATAGCTGCAGGTATTGCGGGGTAAAACCCCCTGTTCAGGTGGATAAAACAGCCTCAGTCTCATTTTACAGGAGGGGAAACGGAGGTGCAAAGGTGATTTGATATGCCTAAGGATGCAAAAAAGGGAAGCCCATGGCAGGATTAGGCTGCAATTACTGATGCTCTGATTCCTGCGCTGGCAGTCCGCTGAGCAACATTTATGGTCTCTGTCAATTAGACTAGATTATGGAGAATCCTTGCTAATTCTATATTATTATATACAAAGTGGTTATCTCCCTATAAAGGGTGCCCCTATATACGTGGCAGATGTTCTTCCCCGAGCACGGCCAACTCAAATGGCAAAACCCATTTCTCCTGCGGCCAATATTTTGCCTAAGCGGAAATGTTCACAGTCCAAACACCGCAGGCTTGTCCTAGGCTGAGGGAGGCAGAGCCAGGGGCGAGGGAAGGCACCAGCAAGTTCGACCCCTCCGTCCCCCCCCAACGCACCAGGTTGCAGGGCCTGAAACATCTGAAGGACAGGCTGGGCGACGGCTGGCGGCTGTAGACCCTGCTGCAGAAAGCCCTGCAGACCCCCGGGAGACGCCTGGACGAGGTTGTTGGTAGCACGGCTCCTGGGGTGGCGCGTGCCGAGGGGGTTAATCCCAGCAGAGCGGCTTGGTCGGGCTCAGCCACGGGATTTGGCAGGCGCTGGGCATTTATTTCATTTACCAACCTGTCCCCCAAGGTCAGAGCTCTCCCGTCCTTTGAACCTACCTGCTTTCTGCCTCTAGAAGACTGAGCTGCAGCATGGGGAGAAGGCTTCAGTTTTCTCCTCAGTAAATATAACCTAGCACTGTGACACCAGCGAGACGGACCAAGGAACGACAGAGCCCTACACTGGCTCAGCGGCATCTCAGCGTCCCACTGTGAGCACTGTGTCCGTTCATGGAAACCGACCCCAGAGCCAATGCTGCCGTGACCCACACTTAGCGCCGGCAGCCCAGCACGTGATGACCTTGCTCATACCCAAATCATCCCCTTCTCCTGGTGGAGAAGAAGCAAGAGGCATTACTGGCCCCATGCACGCGCTTCCACTACAGAGGCGCTGCAAGAAGCTCCAAATCCAGCCACAAAGTCCTGCAGCTGCGAGACCAGCCGCCCACCAGCTTCGCCCCCGCCCCCAAGGCCCCGGGA